CTTACAATACTATAAAACGGAATAGCTGTGAACATAAATGATGGAAGATCAAATGCAATATTATCACAGGAGAAAGATATCATGAACTTAAATCTATCTAAAGATCCAGTAAATATAAATTAACTCAAATAGTAAAATTACCAAATTAAATTTTATTTTCAAAGAGTATACATATATTTAACTGGAAATTATTGTGATATTTCCTTTTAATTAGTCAAAATTTCTTTCAAAATATCCCATCAAAGAAAATGCTCATTCTAACTCCCCAGGGATTCTATCCTTGGTGATGACTAATTGTATTTCCCACTTAAGATATAATCTATCAATACTTTATGTAGCTGATGTTAACTTTTGTGTTTGTTTATTTTTCCAGCACTCTATTAGCTTCAACATGTAAAAATAAACTAATTTTGTTATATGGTTATTTTCCACCAAAGGAGAGTAGAACTAGTAATATAACCAATTTTCTTAAGAAAGTTGTTAATGAAATAATTTAAGGGAACCAGTTCTTAGATCCCACGTTCTCTGTTTCCTCCCAACCCAAATAACCTATGTCTGTGTGAAAATTCCGTTTGCCCTAAGAAACTTAGGTGCAGTGGTTTAAGTTCAGGAAACATAAGGAACAACAATCTCTCACACAGATTTCTCATTGCGGAAAGTGAAGTGAACAGCAAGAGCTTCTGGTAATTGCAAAAGTGAGTTGACAAATCTGAACTGGGATCTGTTTCCAAAAAAAGTTACATCGATATCCAATGCTGTGTCTATGAAAAGATCGCGGCATCTAAAATTGGCTTCTTCTAGCATGAAGATGGAAACCTTCTTGCTATGATTAACCTTTTAACTCCGACTTGAGAGTTTCACTTATGGTTAGTAAAATCCATTAGAAATGAGTGATACTACTGGTAACTTTCTTAGATATAAGCTAATTTGTGATCGAGCATTAAAAGTTTACCCGTGACTTGGAAAGTAAAAGTTAGATTTCCCATAACTCCTGCTGAATAACAATTTATAGCACTGCTGCAAAGGAACACAAAATAATGCTGCGCAATCATTGTCATTTACATGGGATCTTACCTAAAGCATTATAAAAGATACACATTTCTCCAGTCCTCCAAACCAATATCTGGAATTACCTTCTAGAGCTGTTAAACCACTTCCTCAAAGGTAGAAAATATGTAAATATTATATCAAACCAATGACGCTTTCCAAAAAGATGGAACGCAGGTTGAGGCGCTCTAGCTAAGGAAGAAAACTCACAACTCGCTTAATTGTACAGCATCCTTTAAGGGCTTCGAGGAGCTGCCTGAAAAACTTTAGTTTCTCTGGATTGTTGCAATTTACTTGACAGGCTGAGCCTTCAAGCATCCCCCTTTGCCTGGCTGCTCAGCTCACCCCCACTAAGACCAGCGCCTCCTGTGCGCACCCTGCCCTGCAAGCGTCTGGGATGCAGCGAGCCAGCACCACTGGGGTTACTTTGTTTCCAGTACTTGTCTCCGATAATTCTCAACTGGAGGAGGGTATTACTTTCCTCTTTTGAAACTGGGGTTCTCTCTTTAGATTAGCGCCACAACTATCATTAAGACTCGTGTTTCTTCAAGAGCCTGAGCATGTCTTTATTAACAATTTTCTGACCCATTCCTTAAAATTCTCTGAATTCCTAGATTCTATCTTCTTCCTCAAGAAAGGGAAATGTTTACCATTTGGAAAAGGGTGCTATTTAAAGAGCTCTGAAATCAGAATAAAAAAACAAAACCCACTAAAACTTTTTTTTTTTTTTCTCATACGCTCTGCCAAGTTCCATTGCAAGTTCCAAATGTTGTGCAATAATTTGGAAATCCAGTTAATGATGGGAAAAATCGAGCCACTCGGAGCCGGGAACTTGGGAGGGGAAAAAGTCAAGGAGCGGCAGCCTCACGCACGCCCGGCGAGCGCCGCGTCCCCGGCTGCGCTGCCCTCCCCAGCGCTCAGATGGCAGGTCACGCTTCGCAATCGATTTCACATACTGTCACTTGTCCTCTTTATTCTCAACCCTCTGGTAAACTAGTTTGAACCTTGGAGAGCTTAGTGCTCTTGGCTACAGTTGTGCCCTCTCAGAAACACGTGTCCCCGAATAACAGGACCAAGGCAGCCCCCGCGGAATTTGGCGGCGGGGAGCCAGAGAGGGCAAGACCTGTGCCATCTTCCCCGCCGCCTCACCGTGGCGAGGGTGTCCTCCCCGACATCTCCCCGCCCCTTTCGCCCAGGGTGCTCGGCGCGCCCTTACCTGAGCTATCGCTTTTTCTCTTGCCGCCACTTCTCTTCTCCGCCTCCGCGGGTGACAGCGCCTGGCGCCCGTAGTCCCCCGGCGCGCACGCGGCCCCGGTTGGGGTGCTGGAGCCCAAGCTGGAAGAGTTGGAACACAAGACCGGCGGGCTGCTGCCCATCTCCGGGGGCCCTCCCGAGTCCGGCTGGAGGCAGAGGCTGTGCCGAGCCGCGCTCGGGGGGGAGGACATCTGCGGGAGGTGCCAGTTGGTTTGCAGAGCTTGGTGCTGCTGCTGCTGATGGTGGTGGTGGTGATGGTGGTGGTGGTGGTGGTGCCCCCTGTGATGCTGGCTGGCAAACATGCCCTCCTCGTTGGGGTATCCCGCGATTATGCAAGACGAGGAAGAAGTGGAGAGCTCGGGGTAGGACATATGGTCAGATCTTCCATGGAGGGCGAGAGAGGACTGGGAGAACGGGTGCAAGCCTTGCGCGGTGGCGTGGGGGCTGCGCAGGCAGCCAAAGAGCGGGTGTTCCATAGCATGCAAGTCTTGGGTTCCAGGCAGAAGACTTCGCGACGGCTGCAAACGCCACCACCCCTCTGTCACTTTTCACTGGAAACCGTGTGACTTTTTCCCCTCCCCAAGCAATAGCCGCTCCCGTTTCTGCAGAGTTTGGATAATCCCGGTCCTGAGCCCTAGCGGCCAGTCTCCTTTACATATAAACACTCTGACCTGGAGGAGCTTCCCTCCGAGCTACTCAAATGTCAAGAGTAGGAGAGGTTGAAGCCAAAAGAAGGTGGTCCCAAAGAACTGCTTTCAGGGGGAAACGGCTCTGAGAGGTTATAAATAGAGTGTAATGTGAGCTGGGGGCTGGCTTAAGAGCCCAGCGCTGACCACATGCAAACTTGCTCCAAAACTCCCGCTCAGTCTGCGCCACGCGCTTCCAC